ATATATTGTTAGTAACATTTTAGAAGAATTTTATGGGGAAGATACACAATTACAGCTTCTGTGGGGGGTGAAGGAAAAGTAGTGTAACTAATTACTGTTGCCAGAAAGTAATAATATTACTTTTGAAAGGAGCAGCTAGTCATAAATTACATTTTTGGAGTAACAAGCCCAACACTGATCATGAGAACTCTCTGAAGAAGCGCATTGGCTGCGTATGCAACATGAACCAATGAGCTTGTGACAAGTCGTTTAATGCTAAGAATATCATCAGTTTACGTAAAGGACCCATCAGTCTGGGCCATCTAGAGTTTCATGACAGAACTTGGTATATAAAACAGTAATACTGTGAAATATTGTTACCAATCAGAATAACTTTTCTATTTTACTATTATTGTAAAATGTAATTTATTTCTGTGATGAATTTTCAGCTTCATTACGTCAGTCTTCAGTGTCACATGATCCGTCAGAAATCATTCTAATATGCTGATTTGCTGCTCAAGAAACATTTCTTACCATTATCAATGTTGAAAACAGTAGTGCTGCATCATATTTTTGTTGAAACTGTGAAACATATTCGATTTTCTTTTTATTAGAAAGCCCAAAAAACAGTGAAATGAAAATCTTTCGTAACAATGTAGTTTTTAGTTTTCACTGTCACTTTTGATCAGCATCTGTCCTTATTTTTTTATTAAATATGTATTTGAGTGTGAGTGTTTGTACTCAAGTGATTTGTACCTTTTCCACACGCTGCTCCTTGATATTGTCAGCAGGCTGTGACGCCTCCAGGAAGAGCTGGTTCTTGAGCGCCTCAAGCTGAGAGATGGAGTCTTTCAGCTCAGCTGCGCGACTGAAGTCCTGACAGCTGATGCATTCTTCTAGAGTCTGCTTCGCCTCCATTATCTGCACTCGAACCTCAGCCAGCTATAGAAAAGTATTTTAATATGTTATTGAAGCCAATCTAATGCAAGAGGGGGATGCCACTAAGCACCAGTGGTGTATGAAGAGTCACTCACTTTGACTTGTTTTCTGCGTTTCTCATTCTCATCCACAGGTTCAGAGATGGGCAAAATGGGCTCTCTCACATCAGATATTATTTCAGCAACCTGATTAAAATATAACCACACACGAGCAAAACAATTCAACTGTTGGCAAATTGCTGCAGAGACTGCAGCAGATCTCAAAGGCCATATTTGCATAGTCAACAAATTAAAAAAATTATTTTTTATATATTTCAACCACCTTGTTGCATGTGTGGAAAAACACTTGAATTTTTGGGGCGGGCTGTTTGAAATTTGATCCGTATCTGACCTACAGCCAAAGAAAGGTACATACTCTATCTGAAAGGACTACATTGATACAATGTCAAGCAGGTTTTTCCAAGAATATGATGGTCCCACAAAGACTGACCATCTGAATTTTCTGTGCGTCGTCTCGTACAATTCCAATCAGTTTCTCCACTAGCAGACCAATCAGAGAGGTGGGCGTGTTGGGCATCAGAAGAATGTCCTGCAGCACTGCTACCATGCGCTTCCTAGAACGGTTCATGGGAAGTTTAACAGAACACATTCTCAAAGTAAAGTAAATGTGCAGTTAAAAAATAAGGGTGTTTTAGTGATATAGAGAAATCAGACCCTCAAGAACTAAAGACACTAGTTCTCTAAATTATGATCAGTAAGAGATTAAATGTTTTGATAATTCTGACCTGCCGCCTTCTTCAGAAATGTCCAGACACCCGACTAGCAGAATCAACTGCTGACCAATGTACTCTTGGGTCATCACCATCTCAAGCTGTGTCATATCTGCTCTCTGCTCCTCAGACAGCTGAGTAATGCTCTTTAGATAACTGAAACAAAAAGGCTTCCTTATTTAGCTGGGTTATCATTTGCAAATGTTTAATGTTAAGCTGAATTCGACAGGAAAAAAAACAACCATGGAAGAAATTTAATTAGCCCATTTAAATGGGTTACAAGAAACATAAGTGTAGAGCACAATCACCTGTACAGATACTCCGCAAAGATGGCCGCCTCAGGGAGTAACTGCTCCAGTAATTCCTCACCCTCATTTCCTTTATTCTTGACAAACTCACACAACGCTCTCCAGTACAACACATTTTCACATGTTAGGGAGTCCACAGGGATTAGTTTCCTGTACAGAGAGATATGCACCTTTAAGTAGAAGACCAAACCTAAAAATTGTCACTAGATGGCCACCTGCCAAAACACTGAAAACAATTATATCATTAAAAACATTCTCATTTTCCACTAGATATTTTTTAGGGATGGGCATTTTTTAAAAATATTGCATTCGAATATTTGAACGGGAAAAAAAAAAAAACGGTTATAAAGCACATACATTGTTTCACATGTTCTTGTTGAAAAAAGAAAAAAAATGTACATCAACATGATCGGGTGAAAGTCGTCTCCTTATGCCGTGTCTCCACCAAAGCGTTTTAGCCAGCTGAAAACACCAGGCGCTCTTCTGAAAATGCCTAGCTGTGAACACTACGAAGGCGCTTTGGTTGCTGTGATACAGAACAGTAGCTGAAGTAATGTGGCAGATGCATCACTAATGACATGTTGCATGCATTATTTTTCATATCAACATTAACTTCTCCATTGTCATTCAGTGGAAGTACAAGTAGGATGTGACAGTTGGTCAGTGTGGCATTTGCCCCGCCCCTCCTCCACTGTGATTGGACGGCTGACTGAAAACTGACAGTGATGAGCGCTGCGTTTTGCCCAGAGTTTAACATTTTTTAGCGCTTTGTTGTGCTGCTGGCATCTTAAAACACCCACTGAAAACTGTTATATGTTAGCCTCGGGAGAAACTTTGGTGGATACCGGCTGCAGAGAAAATTAGTGGTCTCTCGGCTCGCTCGGGGTACATCTGCGCCTATCTGCAGTACTAGTGAATGCAGTGATGTGCCGCTGTTTTTCTTCATTCGACTGGTCATGACATTCCGGTGTTTGTATTTCATATGATTCCTCATTTAAGTGATAACTCCGTTTCACTTGACAAAGTTTGCGTGCTCAGGATTTATCAGGGATTTACTGCCAGCAAAGTAACACTTTAGCGAAATTCAAATAGTTTTTATTTTTCGATATAATTATTGCAGATAGAATATTCGACTATTCGTGCACAACCCTAATATTTTCGTCTTTATCGATTTTGGCAATGCCGGCTCAACATCATGATGTCTGTCAGCCAGCGGCGATGGACGATGGCATTCAATGCAATGCTTCTATTCATAGCTAAAAGCAAAGAATGATGAAATAAACCCCAAAATATTCTTATTTTCATATTCCATTTTATATTTTCCATTAAAACCCTGCTCAACATTCCAAATGAATACACGAAGGGTTTAGGGTGTAGATTTATGCCGCAAAGCTGCATTCACTGAAGTATGCCTGTTGCAGTGTTTAGATTCAAGTAACTGACCTCTCATCCAGCCTGACACCGTTCTGCAGGAGGTCATCGGGGCTTGTAGCCATGGAAAAGATGGCTTGTAAGGTAGTCACTGCAGTTTCTGCACAATTCTCTACATCCAGTCTGTGAAGCAACTGCAAAACATCTCCCTGCTGCATGTGAAGCCAAGCAGGCAGCAAATCGGTCTTGACGACCTCCTTTACTGAGTCTAAAGGAAATAGACATGATTTGTTTTATTGACTTTTACCGTCCTGTCAGCAACAAGGCTATTTCATGGCGAGCGCAGAGCATTACAAGATAGGCAATTTACAGAACTTTACAAGAAAACTATATAACACAAGATAACATTTCTAAGATGCATTCAGGTGACACTTTTACAAATATTTCCAAGGGTGCTTTCACACTAGCACTTTTGGTGCACACCTGGGTTCGATTGACATCAGAGTACGGTACGTTTGGATGATGTGAACGCGGTCTTCCGAACTCGGGTGCGCACCCGCGAACCGTACCCGAGTCTGCTTAAAAGGGGTGGTCTGGGGTACGGTTCAAGTGAACTCCAGTACGGTTCGCTGCTGATGTGAACAATCGTACCGCATCACAGAAGTGAACCGCTATTAATGACGTATTATTTGATAAAAATGTGTTTCACTCACTTTCCTGACGAGCGTGACTGACGC